ATTCCTGGTCCCATCCTCACACTCTCTCCACCTTTCACTGGCAGGTTCTCAGTGAACATCTGATTGTTAGCCTCACTGTCCACATGGGGTCTAAAGCCAGGAAGGGTGAGGGACATGCCTTACAGGGTTTGAAATAAGATCTCTTGACTTTCCAGAGCATCAATTTTTATGTTCCAAGTTATTGCATGGCTGCAAGGGCACAAGCACCCCCAAGAGTGGACAGGGCAGAGGCTGACCCTCGTCATGCCTCATCTGTGGGAAACCCTGCACAGAAACCCTCTGGGGAGCAAGAAAGCAAAGGCCCAGCTCACAGCAGGGACCCTGATCCTAGATGGTTGTGATGCCAGATGACAGGCTGTTGGTCACTTTTCTTCATCAGGACTAAGCATCTTCATGTAGACAATGTGAGCTGCAGAATAGGTCAACTCTGAGGGACCTCTGCCTTTCTTGTCATCATACATAAGTGCCAGGTGAATGGGTGAGGCAGGACACCCTGTGCAAGGCAGAGCAGGCTGCAGCTCGGGCTGCTCCCATACCCAAAGGTCACAGCGGATGGGGCTCTAACCGGCAGGATCCAAGACTAACCTCCCAAGTGGCATCAACTGTCGAGACATATGACTAGCCAGTCAGGGTCACACTAGGTGAACTGGGCTGGCACAAAATAATGACACACACACAGAGAAATACCTTTTTTTGGGGGGGGGGTCTGTGATGGCCCTTCTGACCCAGCTCCCACAAAGGAGGCAAGGCAGACAAGAAAGATAGGGAACATGCCTCGAACCCAGGTTTTATTAATGGAGGAGCTAATCCAGGGAACATTCTATCCAAAAAAGGACAAAAGGGTAGGATTACAATAAACAGGTGGGTGTAATTCAACCCCCTGGGGTGACGCCCACTCCCAGAGCTGCACCTTTCTGATCCTAGTGGAGGTAGGGTCCACTTGCGTTGCAGCATGCAATGACAGTCCTGCACCTCTTTACTCAGGACGTAAAGGTGTGTGCATAGCCCCTGTTCAGGGCGCCTCCGATGCTGTGTAACTCTCCAGAGCAAAGATGCCTCTGAGAGATGTGACTCTTGCAGGTGCAGCCTAAGAACGGCCTCACATTCAGTGCTAGTCTTTTGATATGCAAAACAGCCTGCGTGGATATTTGTTATGATTCAGACACTTCGTGGAAAGTTGATCTAAACAACCCAAAAGATTCTTTCCCATCCCGGGATTCACACAAAACCAACAGCTCCTGCAGGGAAAGGATGAGCAGTGAAGTGCTCCAAGGGAAGGACATGGGACCAGAGGGTAGGACCCGCTCTCTGCACCTCAGTTAAGAAACCACACGCCAACCAGGCTGCTTTCCCTGGTCTGTTCTAGAGCCAATCTCATCTCTCCTCTCTGAAGGAGACCACTGGAGGCTGGGGGTCTGTGGTTGGGGCTGCCTAAGGCAGATGAAGATCAACAGAACTTTCAGTCCCCATTGGCTCCCCATCTCCTATGAACTCTGCACCTGCCATCTGCCTTTGGGCCACATTAACTCCTCTCCAGCAACTGCTGGGACAACCCAGAAAATGAGGATTTTCCCTTCCTAGAGTGCTTAGCATCAAGGAAACAACAACAACAACAACAAAAACCAAAAACAAACTGTTTTCCATGGCAGGTGTCATGAGCTCCCAGCTGACAGCAGTGGCAGAAAGGAGTCCCTTGGGGATACTTTCATAATCTTACCTGAACCAGAGAGTTCCTTTCTCTAAGAATCTTCCAGAGAGCCAGACATGGAAGGCAGGAACACTCGATCCACGGAGCTTGAGGGAGATGGTCAGCAGACCAAAGCTCTTCACAATCCTTTCCCATCAAAACAAAGAAAGTCCAGGGTTGGGCAGACTCCAGGCTCTGCCACTCACCAGATGACTGTGGACAAGGTGTTGAACTTCTTGGTGACTCTTTCTCTATAAGATGGAAATGAGAATGCCTACCACACAGGATAGAGCAGCTGTGACAATGACATTAACAGGAGGTATATAAAACAATGGGCAGATAACAAAGGGCTGGTATCATTACTTAAGCAGGAGAAAAGGAAGCCAGGTATGGCCCAAATCTATGTCTCCCTCCTCTCTGGGCGCAGCTCCAGTGTGCTGCTCTCTGTTGATCAAAAACCTCCCCGGCCCTGGTTTCCCATGAAGCTACTTGGAACTACTTGACAGGATCTTCTACATTGGTGTGCTGCTCTCAGTCTCCTTGCCACCCTAAACTTCCATGAATTTGTCCTGTGCGTTGATGAATTCACAACACATGGAATACCTGGTAATAAGAAGGAATGAATGGAGGGATGGGTGGATGAATGAATGCTTGATTTCCCTCAAGGTATGGCTCAAGAAACACAGGTGGGAGAGATTAAGTCTTGCTCCACACACAGCTGGTGGACTGGTTCCAGCAGCATCCACCGCCCATCTGTAGTCTGCTCCAAAGGTTTCCAGTGCATGGAACATGCTTCTTTCTCAGCCAGTCTCCCCTGGCTCTCAGAACAGCCTAGGGGTGGGGAACAAGGCTACTGAGCCTCTTCTGTGGCAGCCTGTTATCCCTAACCACACAAACTTTAAATTTTACAGATAAGGAAATTCAGCCTGAAAGAAGCTAAGTGGCCCACTTCTACAGAGTACAGAAAGGGATGCCAACCCACCCCTATTTCCTGAGTACCAAAGTGAGCTCAGGGTAGGGTATCTTGTAATCAACAAGCATTTGTCACCCACTATGCCAAGATTGTGCCAGGACCCCCAATTTTCTCCTTTCTACAGCTGAGGAAATTGAAGCCAAGAACAAGGGTGAGGGTCTTGATATTTAGAGAACAAAGCCAGATTTGGAACCAGGATTCACTGATCCCAGCTCAGAGCTTTGAGGATGTTTGCTCAAATAATAGTGGAGTCGATTTGTATGGTACTCAAAACCTCAATAGTAGCAGAAAGCAAGTGGAGAAAGACAACGGGACCCAGCATTGGCCTTAGCAGCAAGACCCCCTGCAGGTGTGTGTGTGTGTGTGTGTGTGTGTGTGTGTGTGTGTGTGTGTGAGAGAGAGAGAGAGAGAGAGAGAGAGAGAGAGAGAGAGAGAGAAAAGAATGGATTCTGCCAAAGAGTCTATGTGGGTTCCTGCACTGCTACATTCTACTGGCACTAAGAAAGGGACACCCATAAATACCTGTTGCCTACTCTCCAAGCTCAGTCCCAAGGGCATGGTGGACCTGGTGATCCCCACACCCACACCCATATCCTTAGATATTCGCATTTCAGCAGCAGGAAAACCTTCAAGTCCATTATGCTGATCTTGGCCAGAGGTCCTTCCTTCCCTGGGACCCTTTCACACTAATATCAGGCATTTCTCTTCCTCCCACCAGATCAGCCTTGGGGTCTGCAACTATTGACTCTCCAAGTCCCAAACTGAGTGTTGAGTAGTTCAGAGGCCCAGGTTGAGCCCGTGGTACTGTGTCTCTGGCATGGTCTGGATGGCAGTGCCTGAAGAATTCCCTGTCGATGCAAAGGAACTCTGGAGTCTGGACAGCAGTTGGCCCAGGAGATCCCCTGGCTGGGTCTCTTCCATGGGGCAGAGTGGATGGCAGCCAGGCAAGCGTGGGATCCACGCTGCTTTTGCTGAGAAAGAGTCTTGATTATCCAGAGTGATTATGACGCACCACCCTGATCTAATTTCAAGTTCAGTAGCAATAACAATTTTTTATTTTATTTATTTATTTTTATGTGGTGCTGAGGATCGAACCCAGTGCCTTGCACGTGCTAGGCCAGCGTTCTACCACTGAGCCAAAACCCCAGCCCAGTAGCAATAGTAATTTTAAAGGAAAAGGACTCCTTTTGGGGGGATCTGTCCCGCCCAGGCCCTCTAGTCCACAATTCATCCAGCTGGACATCCCTGAACTGAGTATTCACCGCGGTGACCTCCCTTCTCTGTGCCTCCCCTCTTCAGGACCCAAGTGTCCTGCCACTCGCACGAGTGAGCACTGGGTTTGGCCGTCACTAGGCACCCTCTCCACCCACCCCGGCTGCGTGCCATAGCAGCAGCAGGGAAATGAAGGTTCGGAGCACCACCCCAGTGTTCTGCGCTGCCTGCCCTCCCGGCTTCTGGCCGCGAGAGAACATACCCTTATAGAGTCTCCATTCCGGTCAGACCCTGAAGAAATGTGGCCGCCGGCTCCCCAGAAGGCGGGAGGAAGGTTGCCACTTGGAAGACTCCTTGCATAAGTCCCCGCATCACCGCCCCTCGCCCGATGCCCCGGTAATTCCCGAAGTCCTGTAAGAGCTTGGCTCCCGCGTTAGCGCAAATTCAGTTCCCAAGATTTTCCTTTCCGACGGTGCATGCCCATCTCATCTGTCTTTCTGGACTGTCCTAGTCACTCGCCTTCTCTTCCTCTCCTATAGGTCCCTTCCCTTGCCCTGGCCTCCGGCTCCGATTGTTGGGGCTATGGCAGGGTAGGGGGCAACTGAACCGGGGATCCAAAAGGAGCCTTTGCGGCTGCCCTGGGCGCCCTTGTGGCCTTTCTGTGAGCCTTGGCCACAGGGTTCGGCGCAAACTGGACAGGAGGGGCTGAACCCTTCCGCGGCCCCACCTCTGGCGTCCCGGGCACTCGAGGCTCACGGAATAGGAGTGGGGAGGGGGCGGGTGTTTCTCCGCGGAGAAGTGGGGAAGAATCTGGGACAGTTCGCGCCACGCCCGTAGCCTGGAACCTAGGAGCGCGCGTTTGTCCCGGGCGCAGCACCCGCCGGGCAGAGTGGGGTCGTCTTGCAGGGGGGAGGAGAGGCGGGGCCCTGGGTAGTGGCGGGAGCCTCGGGCCGGTAACACTCATTTGGCGAGGGTGGTAGAGAAGCGCTGCGGTTGCGGGAGGCGGCTCCTGCCCTGGATCCACAATAGGCCCGAGTTGGGGGCGCAGCGCTGCCAGTAGAGTGTTCAGCAGGGGGCGCTGCTCCGGGCTTTGGGCGGGGGTGGGGTGGGAGAGGAGGGGGGGCCGCGGCTCGCCGCGCACACTTCCCCCATTATTAAACACTATGTTCAAAAGGCGCCGGGGGACTTCCCGGAGCCACGGAACCCGCGCCGCCCTCCCGACCGGCCCACGGAGTCCATGGACCTGAGCGCCGCCGCCGCACTGTGCCTCTGGCTGCTGAGTGCCTGCCGCCCCCGCGAAGGGCTGGAAGCGGCGGCTGTGCTGCGAGTGGCGGGGGCAGGGCAGACCTGGAGACCGGGGGGCGGTGGCGCGGACGGACGGACCCTCGCCCCGGCCACGGGCGCCTCGGCTGTCCAGGCCGCGGTGGTTCCGGGGGCCCGAGCGGCGCGGCGCGCCGCGGGCTCCAGCTTCAGGAACGGCTCAGTGGTGCCGCACCACTTCATGATGTCGCTTTACAGGAGTCTGGCCGGGAGGGCTCCCGCTGGGGCAGCCTCCACCTGGGGCCACGACCATGCCGACACAATCACCGGCTTCGTAGACCTGGCGACCCAAGGTACTTACGCCTCTTCTGCGTCGGCCCATCCCGTGCGATCCTGGGCTGAGATCAACCCCGGAGCCATACTCCTGCTCCATTCCATTTGGGGCTGAGGTCCCGCCAGTCCCAGCTTCAGGTGTTAGAGAAAAACTTCGCTGCTGTGGTCAACGCACCCAAACCCGCTGCGTCTGGACTGTGGCGCGAGTCGCTGCAGCTGGTCAGGCCGGCCCCAGAGGGCTGAGCGGGTCCTTCTACTGAGCTGCACTGGCCTTGCCGGCTGGTAGGTCCCCTGGAAGAAAGCAGGCTGAGTCCAAGATCTGCTTCTTGGGGAAGGGTCTAGAGTGGCCTTGGCCAGGACACTTCGGAGAAGAAAGGGAAGGATTGGGACTTTGAGGCTACTGCCAAGAGGGACTGCGCAGCGATGACAGGGGTGGCTGCTTCCCTGGAGCAATCTGCAGCTCCCAATATCATTGGGGGTGCACAAATTCGAGGGTTCCATGGGCAGAGGCAGGTATCAAATTGGAGAGACTGGTGGCATATCCAGGTATGAGGAGGGCCTTTCAGCAGGCTGCATCTGGTGGTAGTGGTTCCAGTGTGGGAAGTGAGTATCTATAGGTGCCTGTGTTCTGTGCTGGGCCCTTGGGAAAGCCAGAGGTCCAGGACTCTGGTTGTGTTGGGAGGGAAGTCGTGCAGGAATGCAGGCCTCTCTGTCCAAGTGCCCCACCTTACCCTCTGCTGGGCCCTCCAAAGGTAAGTGGGTGAGATTGTGTGGTGGTTGCTGTTTGTCATCTGGATTTTATTAATCTCCATTGAAGTCATTAAAGTAGACAGATAGGGAAAATTTAACTAATTTCAGGCGGAAATGCAAGTAATTTTGGCTTTAATTCTGTCCAGCCAGAGACTTAGCAAGGAAGGCAGGAGGGAAAGGCAGGCAAATAGGACTGGATAAGGGCTGCTGTTCTGAGACTTGGGAGCCACTGACAGTCTGCACACCTTAGGCACAGATTGCTTTATTTTGGGTACCTGGAAATCCTGGGATAAAGTGACCCTATAGGACCATTTGAACTGACAAGCTTTGGCTGAGAGCCTGACATAGCCTCTGCACTGGGTACTAGGATTGTAGGATAGAAAACCCCAGTCCTGGGGTACCTGTAGAGGAAGGCAATCACTCCCTCCTGAGGGGAGTGCCCAGGCTGCCGAAGAGGAGGCATTTTTAGGCCCTGAATGAGCAGAAGCACCAGACTTTCTAAAGTCAGGCTATGTCTACTCTGAAGTAGAGGGAGACAAATCCTTTCCTGGGGAGCTCTGCTTGGCTAGCAAGACCTGAGACCACCTCTTCTCTGCTTCAGGGGGAAATGCAGTGGCAGGGCTGGAAAAGTAGGGTGAGGCCAAGGGCTGCAGAGGAAACTCAGATCAATTATTCCGAAAGCCCTAGGGAGGAAGCAGGGGCTGGAGCTCCTGCCAGTGCCTTTTCTGCCCCTGTTTTTGTCTCCTTTACTTTAACTTGGAGCAGACTGCTTGAGGTCCCCAGAGGCCAGGGACAACACCCCGAGTTTGGATTTAAGGCACCAGAGCCTGGTGGTGTCCGTGGTTGATGAGCAAATTCCCAATAGTGGAGGGAGTCTGCAGACTCTCCTACTTTGGGGCAAAATGAAACCATATGATCCCCTTCAAAGAGAGCTCCTTATCCACTGCTTGGTGGAATTTAACCCCCACCAGAACCCCCAAAGAAAAAAAGTGCCCATGATCAGAAATAAAATCCCAAGCCTAAGTCACAACACAGATAGAGAATAAACTTACTAAGGGTGCTCTTTGTGAAGATGGAACTCACGGGGGCCACTGCCCTAACTACAGCAAGGCTGTTCAGCTGCCCCCCAAATTTTGGAGAAGTTCCCTCTGCTTATTCCTTTGCTGCCTTTTGCCCTCCTTCAGAAGCTGCAGGAGCACTAGGAGGAACCAAGCCTAGGGTCCAGATGGTGATCAGCCGTGCGAGACCCTCCCTGGGAGAGACTTTCTCTGGGCTTCGGTTAGTTCCCCCTTCGACCCAATGAGGAATTTGGACTAGAGGGTCTCTACCGCGGAGCTGCGTGTTCCCCTGTTGGACCACTCGCAGAGCCTAGCTTGCATGGGAGACCGTGGTCGGCAGAGGTGTCCAGCCTGGGTTAGGGGAGAGAAGTAGCAGAAGAGGAAAGTGTTTTCAGGGGACTTGGAACTTTCTGTTTTCGCAGAGCCGGGATTTGCGGCTGTCCTGCGAGCTCAGCAGGGCTGTAAGGAGCAATTACCACACAGCGCAGGACCTCAGTAAGGAAAGCATGACTTCTAAGGAGCCCACCTTGCCTCCCGTTCCCTACTGCCCAGAAGTCTGGCCTCCAACCCTGTTACTGCAAATCTATGACTTCAAGGCATGCTGCGTAGCTGCTGTGGCCTTAAATCTTGGTTCCGGGTGCGGTGGCACGCTTCTGCCCACAAGGCTCAGGCTCAGTGATTATAAGGGTGTCCGTGGTTGTTCCAGCGGCCCTATGAACCAAAGCCTCAGACAGGACCAAGGCTCGCAGCTCTGGGCCAGGCTGGACGCATTCCCGCTGGGGCGCAGTGCGGGGGCGGGCTCCGACTCCAAAGGGCCTTAATCCTGCTTCAAGGGCGGCGGCGCCAGGTGCAGTTCGGAGCCCCCGGGGCGGGGAGCAGGCTTCCTTCTCAATTCGCTCTGTTTCTGTCGGTACCCCTGCAGACGATTCGGCAGCCGAGACTGGTCAGAGCTTCCTGTTCGATGTGTCCAGCCTTCCAGATGCCGACGAGGTGGTGCGTGCCGAACTCCGCGTGCTGCGCCGCGAATCTTCAGAGCCAGGCCTTGGCAGAGGGACTTCGCCGCCGCTGCTGCTTTTATCCACGTGTCCGGGAGCATCCCGCTCACCAAGCCAGCTGCACTCCCGTGCAGCTGAGCCTCTGGACGGCCGGCGGTGGGAGGTGTTCGACGTGGCTGACGCCGTGCGGCACCACCGCCAGGAGTCCCGCGCCACCCGCGCGCTCTGCCTCTTGCTCCGCGCAGTGGTCGGTCCCGCCCGGAGTCCAATGGCACTGCGGCTGCTGGGCTTCGGCTGGCGGGGCGGAGGCGGCGCTGCGGCTGAGGAGCGCGCGCTGCTAGTCGTCTCCTCCCGCACGCACAGGAAGGAGAGCCTGTTCCGAGAGATACGCGCCCAGGCCCGCGCACTCGGGGCCGCTCTGGTCGCAGAGTCGCCGCCCGACCTGGGACCCGGCAATGGGCCATCGAGGATAGTCATGGGCGGCCGCAGGCGGCGGCGGACGGCGCTGGCTGGGGCGCGGGCCGCGCAGGGCAGCGGCGGGGGCATGGGCCGGGGCCACGGGCGCAAGGGCCGGAGCCGTTGTAGTCGCAAACCGCTCCACGTGGATTTCAAGGAGCTAGGCTGGGATGACTGGATCATCGCGCCGCTGGACTACGAGGCTTACCATTGCGAGGGCGTTTGCGACTTCCCGCTGCGCTCGCACCTCGAGCCCACCAACCACGCCATCATTCAGACTCTGCTCAACTCCATGGCGCCAGACGCGGCGCCGGCTTCCTGCTGCGTGCCTGCACGCCTCAGCCCCATCAGCATCCTTTACATCGACGCCGCCAACAACGTGGTCTACAAGCAGTACGAGGACATGGTGGTGGAGGCCTGCGGCTGCAGGTAGCATGCGGCCCGGGGAAGGGGCAGCCGCGCCGCCAAGGACTCCTGCTGAAGAGCAGCTTCGGGCCGGGTCTGTCACCGAGCCCGGGTGCGCGCCGGACTCTGGCGCCGTGTCTACCTGAAGGAGCGCACAAGTTCACACTCACACCCACACACTCCTTCACTCACGAACACATATGCAGTGCACAGCAGCATCCGAAAGCGTTGGGGAGAGGGAGACTGCCGCTACTGAATGTCACAGCCATGTGTAGTTTGTAAGCAGATCGCTGTAGCGCCCATTGTCCCCTTTTGGGAGAGGAGGGAGTTTGTGTTTATGTTTTGGTAATCCCCTCTAAAACCCGGGTAGAAACGGGTTAAGACTGGGGGTTCCACAATGGACGGCCTAAAGGGGCACTGAGTGTTTTTGTCTTCTTTTTGTTTCTGGCCCGGTGGGGGGCGTGGCTCCGCTGGGTGGCTGTGTACCTGGTGTTGCACCCTGGGGCCCCCTGAAGGGTTGCGATGCCCTTCCTAGAGGTTTGTGTTGCTTGAGGCCTTTTACTCTCAGAAAGCACCGCTGCAAAAGGTATCCTCTCCCTTTAACTTTTAAAATTTAATGTGGCGGTGTCTGAAAGGGCAGTTTTGTCTGAAAGAATGTGTGGTGGGAGCGGCCCAGATCCCTGCAAAGGTCAGCACCGCCCTATTTTTATCAATTCCAATTGAGTGTGATTTAGAAAGTGGAAAGACTTTTTCTCTTTGGGGGAAAATGAAACAGGGGAGAGGTTCTAAACTGCAAAGTCGAAGCCCATGTGGCAATGGGAGGGGTGAGATGGGATGTGTCAGGTTTGGAGACTCTGCACCTACTCAGAAGGAGGCAGTAGCAGTGTCTTAGGGCCATTGAGAAAGCCGGGACAGCTGCTGCTCTTCCAAGAGACGTTCCAGGAGGGTTTTCCTAAGAAGTTGGCGAAGATGTTGTCAGGGCTTGAGTTTCCTGGGGCCTGCTCTAGCGGAGGACGATGGTTTGTCTGCCAAGTAGGCGCAGCCCCCTTCAAATAGCATAACCAGAGTGGGCTGGGGTGTCCTGGCGCTTAATGATCCAGCCTGCGTGGACTTACACATGCTTTCTCGGTGTTGCTGAAGTTTTTGGCAGGGTGATAGTAACGGGAAGTGAAGCCACACAAAAGTGCTTTTGTCATATTTAAACTCACAGCCCAGACCTTCAGAGCAGGAGGAAGGTCACCTCCTCTGCTCCTTGCTTGGTTCCCCTGTGGTTCCTTCTGGAAGGCAGGGCCTTGGTGTGGGCGGAGCAGAGGTACCAGATTGTCTCCTGGTTCCCGAATTTTGCCTAGAAGAGTTATTGATGGTAGGATGTTTTTTTTTTTATGTAAAAGTGAGCTCCAGCATGCCAGCCTTCATTGTGTCTGTAATTTGTTCATGCCCAGAAGTTCTTTGTGTCTTTTTGTCAATGGTCAGCAGAGAAAGAGAAGCTGGCCTCCACTTGCCAGGGGCTCCCAGGGCTGCTTTGGAACACCTGGATTCCTCCTGATACTGTTGTTTAACGTTGTGCTGGCTTTCCTTTTTAGGGGCCTTGGTTAGGCATTAATTCTGCTCTTGTCTTGGATGCTCTTGTCCAGGAAAGTTTATATACATTTTAATTCTTAGTGGTTCTGTTTTACTCTCTTGATGAAGAGGAAAGACTAACAAATTAGATATCACTGATTTAGTTAAAGGTCCCACCTGCATCCTTTTTATTCTGTAAAATTCCCCCCAAGGGAGAAAACCCACATATAACTTATTCTTAAAATTAAGATTGTTCCCCTCTTGCAATGTGAAGTTACATGCTGCGACAGTGTGCATAGCCATAAATAACCAGAAAATACAAAGTTTCTTCAGATTTAAAAAAAAAAAAAAGTCAGAAGTGGCCACTCTGGTACAATTGCATTTTATCTTTTTGACTAGCAAATATGGTGCCCAGATTTATGGTTTTTTTTCCAGGGAAACTTTCCTCTTTTGTTTTAAATGATAATTTTAATAGTGATTGCTCTTATACCTTTCATTATGAAGATTAAAAAAATGCACAAAAGTATAACAGGTTATAGTATTAGAAGATTTAGAAAGGAAGGTAATAAAAATCACATTTCAATATTATTTTGAGGAAATTTTAGGGTGTTTAATATCTCTGGACAAAAGCAAACATTTTGATACTTTTTTTAGTGACTAGGAAAAAAAAATCTTTGGGGTAAGAAATGTCTTAATGTAACCTGTGCTTTTTATGGTAGGGAAAAAGGTATCCATCTCCTCTGTCTTCTTGCTGCTGACCTCCTTCTAACAGCATGTGTCTGGGGTGATGTAGGAAGTCAGTGTCTCCTTGGCTCTTTCCAGACTGCACCATGGGGAGAGGTGTTATCCTTAGACAGCACAGTTCTTTCCATGGCCTCTGAGGCCCCAGGGTGCTCCTTGGTTTACTGATAGAGGGAGTGTCTGCTGGGTCTCCCCTGAAGCTTTGTGGAACCACCATGGTTCAGGGTGCCCACCAGTCTTCAGCTCTGCCCAGCCTTCTGTCTCCTCAGAGTCCATTCTCTAGAGGTTGTGTTTCCCTGTATACAAATGACAGTAAAAGGGCCACCATATGTGGGGTGGCCAGTTTTCTGCTGCTAGGATGTGGTTAAATTAGCTTTGCCAAGATGTGGAGAAAAGCATTCTGTGAGTGCATTTGGGAGCACCCTGTGCCATCTGTCCTGTAGGTGGTGGGGAATAGGCTGGGTCACCAGCGTAAAACCCAGTTGCTCTGCTTGAGTCCTCAGCTGGAATCTCCAGACATCACTGTGGGGAACTGGGATCAAGTGTGTCAGAACCATGAATGAAAGTTCTCCTCTCCATCTGAAGTCACCAAAGTGTCCTTACTAAAGTAAACAGAATTTTCCACTTTGTTGGGGAAAATTGTGCACTGCTAGTTGAGATCATTTGTGCAACTATTTCTTGTGGATGAACAGGGTCTGACATCCTTGCTCAGGGAGCCAGGGGTGCTGCTGCTGGGTCTGCCAAACACCAAGACAAGTCTGGTTTTTAAAACCAGAATTTTTGTATTAAGGGAGACCCCTGTATTGGCAGGTGAACACTTCTACTGCTGGTTTTATGGAATTCAGGCTTTCCAAGGGAGCTGGACTGGGTCTTGTGGAGGTGGCGGGCTTTGTGGTCTTAGCCTGGGGAAGCCAGGATAGAGCTGTGCTCATTTGTTACACAGGATAATTTCCTGGCATTTGAGTGCTTCAGAGGAAGAGAAAGAGAAGAGGTATAGATTGCATGAGGGTAAAAACTCCTGGAAGGCTTGTGAGGAGATTCTCCCCTGACAAAGCACATGGTGTACACAAGGGCAGAAGCTTGGCCTTGTGTCCCGAGGAGGGTTCTGTAACCCTGTGGAAGGAGCAGGGAGCAATCCAAGTCCTACAAGTTCTTATCCTGTCAGCGGTCTCACTCTACTCATAGCAGAAAATAACTGGGACCGATTTTCTTCTTAAAGCAGAGCAAAACTTAAAGGGAGCAAAACTGAACTCTTTCCAAGAGCAGCTTGTGCACAGAGCTCTCCCCTTGCTTGAGTCTGGTCTCCTGAAAACTGAGTGTAAGAAAGAAAAAGCTTTGCAGCTGTCCCAGGGCTTTGCTGGTTCTCCAGAGAACCCATCCCCTCAGGATACAGACCTCCCCCAATGGCTTAGGGCCAGATGGCCTAGGCAGGTGGACTGAGGGAACCAGGCTTTGAAAGCAACAGTCTGTCCAGGCAGTGGAGGACCTGCTTTTGCCCCTCAGGAAGTGTCTGGATTGGGAAGGGAAGAGAGGACGTGGAGTAGTGAATCCAGCAGTTATAGAACTTTGGGAGTTAGTAGGAAGTCACCAGACCCCTGTGGGGGCCGGCATGTCCAAGTGGTGCTAGAGTCAGGGCCCACTATGGGCTTCTGCACCCCAGAAGTCAACTATCTCCCCAGTATGGCCTGTGTCTGCCTGATAGGAAGATACTCCAACACTAGGGATCTATAGGGTATCTCCTGAGAGGCCTGAGGCAAGTCATGGGCAGTCCCCTCTGCTTGAGCTTCAACTTCTGTCCCTTAAAATGAGAACCTCTGGGCTGGAGATGTCGCCCAGTGGTAGAGTGCTTGCTTAGCACGTGTCAGGCCCTGGGAGGGTGGAGGAAGGACCTCTCCAGCCCAGAGAGCCTAGATTGTACGTCCAAGAATCCTATTCAGATGATTCCAAGGTATAGCAAATGCTAATACTCCTGGAAAAGGTTTCCTCCTGACCCCAATCATAGAGCCACATCTCACAAGTTTCACAGCTCTTCCTTGTGCCTGTGAGTGTATACCCTCTTTCCCGACTCCTAGCCTCTGTGGGTACTTCACAGATGTTGCTTCCATTTCTACCTGGGGCAAAGCAGGTGCAGGGGAGGCCAGGACCTCAGGGTAGGGCCCGGCTTCCCCCAGACTGATAGCTTTCTTGTGCCCCCTGGTTGAGGGGCACTGCTAACCCACTTGAATAGCACCTGTGCCACATAAGGTGGGTTGGATCACAGAGAACTGGAAAAATGCTCCAACTAGCTATAGGTGCCTCTGTTGGGGGAGTAGAGGGAAGGGTTGGGAAGGGGGAGAGGATGTGGACCAGTGAAACCAGTGGTGAAAACACTTTAGGAGTGAGTGGAAAGTCACCATATCTATGTGTGGACTGGAATGTCCAAGTGCCAGAGTCAGTGACCATGGTGGGTGTGACAGCCCAAAAAGATGCCTGGGACTGTCCTAGAGTCCCTGGGCAAGGCAATAGTCTTGTCTTGGGGTGGGCTGTTCCCTACCTGGCCCTACTCCATCTTCACACACCTCACTGTCATGCTTGTCTGCTTCTAAAGTACCTTTTCATCTTTCTAGGGGAGTGACTCTGGGGGCAGGTGGCAGAAGACCTTTTCATGACCTGGAAGGTGGAGGTGGAGTTGAACTTGAGGAGCACTAGGAGGAAGGGAGGTGTCAGAAAGATTGTCTTTTTTTATTTTTTTTTGGTCTTTCCACAATGTCAAAGTTTATTGAATAACAATTCACAAGGTACACCAATCAATTTCATCATCTTTAATTCACTGAATACTCATGGTTCACTTGGTGCCATGACCATGGAAATCATGGGTAGATGGTTCATTTTGAATTTTTCAGACACTCAGCCTTTTGCACTTGGAGTCACCTAACCATTTATGTTGGAGCTAAGGTTTCTTCTGTTGCTGTTTGGGTCTTTGATCTGTGCCCAGAGCACAGAGCTGCATGAACAGCTCTCACATACAGTGAGAACTGGAGTGAGGTTCTGGTGAAGGAAGGCCATCTTCTTTCTCATGAGGGCCATCATCCCAACCTGAAGAATCACCTGCATGGACATGGACTTCAGAGAGAGAGTCTGGAAATTGGTCTTTTAAATCAGTGAGGTTGAGTAAGGGCTGTGAACCCTGAGTGTCAGTCAGAGATGTGCTCTGTTCAAGATGCGCACGGGCCCAGCTTTACCAGTGCTCGACTGCTGCCGTGCTATGCTGAGACTTGGCAACCAGGCTTTCAGCCAGACAGAATTTGGGTTGGTGCATCCTGGCAGCCACAGCAATTCTATCAGAGCAAGACAGCATGGGCAGTCGAGGGGTGTGAGGTCATTGAAAAAGTTAGTCTATTTTCAATACTTGCTTACCATTGCTGAAAAAGTTCAAATTCATGCTCAGAGTAGCAAACTCAGCCAGTGATCTGCTTCCTCCTGCCCTTGCAGACTTCGTTCAGCATCTGTGCATGGTGTGCTTGCCTCTGTGTGACAAAGAAAGGACTAGTTTCTCTCACATGCATCCCCTTCATTGGCAAGAGGGTTGCAGCATCCACAGAGAGATGAGTTTCTGCACAGGCAGGTGAGTTTGTAGGTTGAAGGTGTAAGAAGCATATTTTGCTCTTGACAGGTGAACTTCCTTCTCTGATAGGAACTCTGGGTTCAGAGAGAGCTGCCTGAGAGAAGTTGAGGTGCAGAAACTTTTTTTTTTTTTCCCAAGGGATGCTGAAATAAGTTGTCTGGAAAAACAAGGAAAGGCTGGTGGTCAGGGGTGGTGCAGACCTTTGGGAGGAGGCTGACAGTTTTGCTTTTATCTTTGTTTCACCACCTTTGGAGTTGGCAGACAGGAGTAGGGCAGTGGTGGCAGGAGAAGTGGCTAGGCAGGTCATGGGCATGCAGCTGTCTTGGCAGTTTTGTCCACACTGCACCATTGGACCAGCAGTGGCAATAGTCACACCTAGTTCCTGGGTCTAGAGTTGGGCAAATGGCTTGTTCTTTCTGTAGGTCCCTGGACACTTGCCATAACCTAGAACCACCGCTGGCCATTTTGGGGGCTAAGATGTGCACATGGCTGACCCAGAGAGGACTTCTGGTAAGGCTTATTTCTAAAAGTCATGCTGAATTAGAAGTAAACATAAGTGGATCAGATGCACACAGGCAAAATTCCCTTGAGGACATTCCCTGGGACACCGGATGGGGAGGGGCAGCCTAGACCAGTGAACTGCTTGATGGTAGTTGGTAGTAACAGGTTTGGGGAAGCCTGACAGCTCTTGGGTGCTCAAGCCGGCTATAGGCTGTCCTCACTGGGTTTCTCAGTGGGCCAAGTCTAAGAGGCAGTGACAAGTGTGTTGAGGACCTTTCCTTATGGCATTCTTTTTTTTTTAATCCCTCATGTTTGAAGGCTGCCAAGGCCAGAAAATGGTGCTCTGTCCTGGGTTCCCCTTTGACTCTAGGTGAGCAGGCTGTCTCTCACCTGGAAAGGGGTGCCCTGTAAGCAGGGCTTATTTTCTAGCAACTTATGTTTCTGGATCAGGGCCTGTCAGCATCAGAGAAGGCCAGCCATTCAGCATTCTATTTAGAAAATGATGATCCAGTTGGGGGAGAAAGCAAGCTCAGGATGAAACGTGTTTCCTGGCTGGGAATTGGGCAAGTGTTCTAAGCCAGGAGCAGTGACTCTGGAGATGAGAATTGTTCTGGTCTTCTCCACCTAAGCACCCTTAGAGTGATTTTATTTTTTATATTTCACTGTATATTGTAGTGCAAATAGCTTTTATATTTTCTTTGACAGAGAATTATAATTGAGTCACTTTAGGTCTTTTAGCTGGAAGGTTTTTTTTTCCTCCCCAAATGAGAAGGTAATTTTTAAAAAAAGGATTAACACGTCATCTGCCCTTTCAATAGATGACAATTGTAGAGTCTGATAAGTTTGGATTTTTTTTTGGTTTGGTTTTGTGCATAAAGAAGCAGATCCTTTCACTGTGAAGGTAGCTGCTCAAACTCTAGCACCTGCTTCCAGAGCAAAGCTGTCTAAGTAGGCTCTGAGCGGGCAGCAAAATTCTGCACATGCTGAGTGGCCTACAGCTTCAAAAGCAAATTTAATCAGATTCCAATACTGTGATTTGAAGGAAATGGCGAAACTTGAAGTGATGGTAATGCCATCAAGGCTCAATTACACTTCATTCCCTCCACAGCTAAAGACAAAATTAATTATTTTTAGGGCAAGTCCCTTTCATTTTGCAGTGATACCTACTGTTTTTCAGCTTGGCTTGGGAGATGGGGGAGGGGGGTCTAAAAATCCATTTGATGCAAACTGAAATCTTCTTTGTTGGCAATCTTCCAGCTCTGGTTTGGCCAGAGCAGGACTCTGAGGCTTGCAGGCTGCAGCCTGGTGTCTCCCTGCTGCCCAGCCTGGCTATGTGGGCAGCACTCACTGGCATCAAGAAATGCTGTCTGTGGCTAGGCCAGCTACAGGGAATCCTTCAAGGGCAGGTATAAACCATGTGTATATGTATTCTCAAATTTAAATAGATTGTACATATCAGAATGTAAATGACCTGTAAAACAGCACTCTATTTTTCTTGATTATTACATAGCAGTATATATTTGTTAAACATGCTCATATACTTGTTATTAACCATTTGATATTTTGTACAGATAAGTTGATTAAATATTTTATTCATAAAACTGCTCATGACTGGTCTTTAGGGAACAGTGTTTTGTCTTTTGTTATTCAGCCTCTCTGTGTTAGTTTAGTTCTCCTCTGCATCTTAGGACAGCAGCCAAGCATCTGGGCAATAGGAATAACTGCTTTGAAACAGGAGCAGTTACAAGGTAAGCCCGATGCTGCTAGTTTTTATGCTGATCACTGCCCCTTGAAACACCAGGGTCTCAGATTTGAATGGGGAATGGGGAGCCTCAGACATGCAGCTGCTGCCCCCTGTGAAACTGCATAGGATACTGTGTGCAGCCCCACACTGCATGATGTCACTGCACAGGAGGGTAAAAAAATCAAGCTTGGTGCAGGCAGAAGAGGCCAAAATGCAGTAGAAGTTTTTCTCTTTCGGAAATGAGCATTATAATTTGCCCACTGAGTATTCATTCCAAACCCAGTTGGAATGGGAAGCCTTTGGGTTTGCATACACTTCAGGCTGCTGTAGGAGTGATCTTACTCCAGAAAGTTGCCTCTGCAGGTTGCACGGTCATCTTCCAAAGTCCTATGGCATTAGGTCCAATGAGAGCAGCTTTCTCTGCAAGGCCAATGACATATTTCAGAGAAACCAATAAAGTCTTATAGCAAAATTGATAGGCCTCTTTGTGACAAGGACAGAGATGCTGTGTGTTCAGTGATGTCATCTTGCATCCCTAAGTATCTCTCCTAGCAGGGCAGGGTAGGCCTACCTTGCAGCCTTCCCTGGTTATTCTGGTGCCACCCGGGATTTTTCCTACAGATGCAGGGGAAAGCTATTTCACCTGTTTCTTAAATGTTCCTGGGAGAGGATTAGTGACAGAGCTGCAGATATGGAAAGCTGCTAGGGACTTGCCCTCATTAAGGACTTGTTGCCAGCATTACCTCTTGGGGGAGACAGGGAGTCTGTCAGTGTGACCCACCTTTCTCTCAGAGTATAACAGTACCTGTCCTCTCGGAATCCAGTGTTCCCAGGGTCATGTTAATGTAAATGTCTTGGTCGTGAGAGTCTCTTCTTCTGCTGAGATGGATCGTGAAACCTGCTGTCTTCCTGCTCCCTAATTTCATTACTACTGAACGAAGGAGAATTTTTCTTTGGAGGAAAAATTGTATTCTCTTTTTAACTAAGTCATTTGGCAGGCACAGTAAATATGTAAGCTCTGGACTCTGCCAAGGGTAAAGTCTCATCATGCTTTTTTTTTTTTTCTAAATAACAGTCCTTGGTCAATTTTTCATTTTCTTACCTTTTAGTCTCTACTTGACTTACCTCAGCATTCTGTGTAGAGGCTTCCACATTCAGTAGAGAAGGGGAAGTTACTGGGAAAGAGGAAAGCCGCAGCGGCATCTAAACATTTATTTGACTTCCCAAACATGGATGAGAGTAAGTCTGAAAGGCTCTGTAATGACTGATGGCTAAGAGACAGCCTAAGACCGACTGCTCCCTTCCTGGCCCTGTTGTTCCAGCTCTGCCCGATGCCTCATTATTTCCAAGCAGGTCGAGGTGAAGATGCCTCCAACAGCTGCCCTACTGAGGGTGGTGCCTGATGTGGTTATGGATGCAAGGCTCTCCTGTGGCCTCTCAGAAGGAACAGTGATCTGGGCAGAAACGTGTCCACTGGGATGTGTCACCAGTGCTCAGCCATCAACTTTGGGGCTGTGGGCGTCTGTAGAGTCCTAATCACATGCAGGTGTGCAGCCCTTCGGCAGTGGCCAGTAGGAGGAAACCCAGATGTTCTGCAGAGCCTGAGCAGGGTGGATTTGCAGAGGCGGGATTCTAGTCCCTCTGTGAGGGAGGGAGACCCTGCAGGTGCACCCACACCCCCTGGCTGTAATGGACGCCCAGTCACAGGGTCACATTCCCATCCCAGGGAAGAGGAATGTTCCCATAGACTTACCAGTAAGGAAACCTGTCCCAGTGTGGGGAGGTCAGCACAGGCCCTTTTGCCAGAATGTTTGAGGAATGCAACACAAAATGAGAGTGCTCTACTATCCTCAAGCACGGTCTCGTGTACTGTTGCTATAATTCCCACTTGGGGTGCTACATGGGGCCAGCGCTCAACAAATAATAAGCCACATATTTGGTAGTTGCTAATACCCAAACCCCAGAGATTTTTCTAATCATAGAAGAATGAAAGTAATAATTGCGGTCATACTGCACAAGATGAATCCACCATGAGGTGTAGGAGCCGTGCTTTCTTGTAGCTCCTTGGTGCCAGGAAACAAGCAGTTGATGTGCTTGGATTTGTTTTACCCAGTTGTGCATTGCTCTGCCAGGAAATGCTTACAGGATAAAAGAGCAAGTGCATATGCCCAACACTTGCACTGACATACCCAGTTGGAGGATGAGGAGGCCCTGAAATGTGCTTTCCTGATAGTCTCACTGACTGTGAGGATGCACATTTCTTCAGAGTTTGCCTATTAGGCATGGCTGAAACTTTAAGAAATTTAGATATCCAAATTATACAGTATTCCACGTGGCAGGCTCTATTCTCTAAGCTATGCCAGTGCAGAGGTAGTTAAGACACAGTCCATCTTCTAGAACTCTCATTAGAAGGATAGAAAGGAATATAGGTGGTGGGGGCAACAAGCAGACCAATAACAACATCATTTCTGCAACAATGAGGAGTGTTTCCGTGGAGCCAGGGCCAGAGCATCCTGGAGGCTCAGAGGGAAGGAGGGACTGCTCGAGGAGGCTGGAGCAGTTGGGATTTTGGGCCAAGTCTCATGGGTGAGGTAAAAGTGGGCAAAATTGAAGTCAAGGTAGTGATTGCCAAGGTTTAAGAGCACAGCAGATGTGTAGAGGGGCCAACTAGTGACTGTATCTGGTGAGGAGCATCAGGTGTCAAGGATGTGTGGCAGAGGTGCTGAGCCTGTGACCAGCCTCCTCTTTTTTTTTCCTAAACATTTTTTTTCATTGTAGATAGACACAATACCTTTATTTTATTTGTTTATTTATCTGTGGTTCTGAGGATTGAACCCAGGGCCTCGCACATGGGAGGCAAGTGCTTTACCACTGAGCCACAACCCCAGTCCCCAGTCTCCTCCTCTTAACCCATTGCTGGTTGCAGTTTTTGCCTTGGAGACCCTTTGTTGCAGCTTTTATTCTTTTAAAATGGCTTAGTTGTTACCAACTACCTGCTTTTTACTTCCTCTGCCAACCAGGCTTTCACTTGCCCTTCACATGACTCCCTTTCCCATCCCTCCACTTTCTCGAGCTTCCCCTTGTGGCCTTCAGGAGGCAGCCCAAAGCAGAGGAAAGAAGGGCATGAAGCGAAGGCTCTGGAGTAGAGGCCTGAATTGGAATCCCAGAGCTCACCCACCAGCTGCCAGATCCTGAGCAAGGCACTTACCTTTGCACCTCAGGAGTGATCCGGAAACTGAGCACAGTCAGAGCGGCCCACTGCAACAGTGCAGGGATTCTTGATCTGGATTTGCTTTCCTCTATTCCAAACTCATCCAAGTTCTACCTTTTCTTCTGGGAGTAGGGACAGCTTCTTCCCTCTCTCCCTAGGAGCTTTCTCTTTATAAAACTGTGGCAACTGGGGGACTCTTGGGCCCTTGCCATGCTCTGAGACATCACCAGTAGTCTCACCAGGCATCATACTCAGGGACACCAAGCTTGCTCTGGAGATGTTTTTGTTATGGTTGGAGAGGCCAAACCCATGTCCACAGCCACTCTCCACCTAGCCAATGCGATCACTTACCTACATTTGCTTGGGGCACTGTCAGGAATCTCAGTCCTCTTGGGAAGCAATCAGAAGGATATCTAGGTACTTCTGTCCTTGCCCCTCCTTCAGGAAAGCTTTGTTCAAAGCCTCAGAGATAAATCTGTCACAGTACGCTTAATCCCTGTGACCTCTCCTTCAGCTCTACCTCTAAGGGAAGGAGCAGCCCAAGTATGTCCTTACCTCTTTTCTCCTGCAAGAGAAGATGGCAAAAAAGAGAGTGTCTCATGCTATCTAAGAAATGCTTTGCACCTTTTCTAAGTCAACTGTGAGAGCATCCTGGGCTATGTGGGGAGGCTGAGTGGCCTGAGGTCAGAAAGCAGAGCCAGGTGAGCAAGTGTCACCCCAATGGATGAGCCAAAAATGCTAAAACTACAAGAATCAAGTTACAGACTGGGAAAAACAGCCGAGACTGAGCTAGCATGGGGTCTTCCACTGCACTGAAGACAGGTTAGAGGAAAACAAGTTTATCATCCTTTCCCATTAGGTACAATTTCATAGAGTATCCACCATAAGCTGGCAAGGGGCCAAATGTCACATGCATGACCTCACTGTGTCCCCATTAAAAACAAAACAAAAATCTTCCCCAAATGAAAACCTCAGATAAGTACTCATATTATCCTAGTTTCAGATGAGGAACTGGGGTTGGGGGGTGGTTGGGAGGTGTGAAGTCTTATGTAGCATCTAAGACCTAATAAACGACAGATTTGAGCCTAGGTCCCCATTTACTGTCATGAAGAAATTTGCTTTCTGGAAAATAAACAATGAGAGACAGATGCAGGAGAGAACATGTTTTTTTTTTTTTAAATAATAACTGTTTTTACAAATTCAAAAACCACCTCAAAATTCCAAAATGAATTTCTAAGTAGAGAGAAAACATTATTTTCCCTTGAACCCTTTGAGAGCTAACGGACATGGTACTCCATGGCCCCCAGATACTTCACTGAGTCCTCATTCTCTGACTTCTGTACAATATAATCACTGAAATTTGAAAAAAATTAATCATTATTTTACTTCCAGCTAATAATCTTCAGACCATGTTCAAGTTGTACAAATTGTCCTAGTATTTTATAATAAAAACATTCAATACAGACTCAGGTGTCGTGTCAGGTTATATCTCTTTTAGTCTCTTATAGTCTGAGATTGCTTTTGTTTTAATATAATGTATGATGAAGAAAAATCAAGGCTTTTGAGGTCACTGGCTCTTCAGGCATTGAGTACAGAAGCGATGGCCAGAGGCTCTGGCAGTCTTGGACATAGGCCATTGGAGCTGCAGGGGACTGCCTCTGGAGCTTCTCTCATGACACTGAGTCAAGGCTCCAGCTGACACTTTTCATTCAGTATTTAGACAGCTTAGCTTTCTAAGAAGATTTCTGTTTTATTTATTTATTTTTTGGTCCCACTTTACAACTGAGCTACATCCCCAGCCCCTTATTATTTTTTATTTT